GTTGATTTATTGTTGGACATAATTTTGCTCCGGGGGGCACTTGGCTTTCCCCGGGGGGCGGTGCACTCCCCCCCCCCCGGTAATATGGCTGAAAGAAACCCTGGAGAAGACCCCTGCAAACACACAAAACACACGCGCGCGATAGTAACACCCCTAGGTTAGATCCCTTTGGGTGTCTGGAACACATTATATAGGTTTCCCATTTAGCGTTAGCACAATTGTTTATATATATATATATATATATATCGAAGTGGCTATAGGTACCCGAGTACCCATCGTCGCCAATGACTATTCGCACCCGAAAGTCTTAGTAATCGAAAAAAAACATGATCGAACCAGAGGCTTAATAATCGACAACTTTGCCGCGCTTACTTTTATAAAAATGGAGGTTGGCAGCATTTTTGACACCTATGCGTCTTTTGAAGAAGAATTGAATTATTTTTGTAAAGAACACAATGTGTGTTTCACCAAAAGATCGTCAGAGAAGATGAAAGATCCCAATTTGGAACACCTTATATATGAATATATAATTCACTGTTGCAAACAAGGAGTTAAACGCAAGTCAAAGTCTTCAACAACAGGCCAAAGAAAATCACAAGCGAAGCGTAAGTAATAAAGTAATAATAATAAGTTAACTTTAAATTTATTTGGACTTGTCATGTAATAATTCTTTCTCCAAGCCAATGATTCTTACCACGGTAAATGTATATGACGAATGCCACTATTTTATCGATGACCGCGACTAATGAATCACTAATGTATCCCTGCCTAGCCTAAATTGATCTCTATGCCTAACCTGAACCCTAATTCACTGCAACTATAAAAAAGAAGCAAATGACGCCGTGGCATTCGTGCTCTACATTAGCCCTTATCACTTGTGGTAATTGGTTAAGAATTTTTATATTTTTCAGTTCTTTCAAATTGGTATGCCAGGCAAAGATAAAGCTTGTTGCCCAGAGAAATCGTTCTCAGCTAGAAATTACCAAATCAATGCATGAACATACTGGCCATGAAGTATCAAAAGAAGTAAGTGCATGTGCTGCGAAAAATATTTAGACATAATAATAATAAATAGCATATTCTTGTGGCAGGTTGTTTCACCTACAGGTACACTAGTGCTATAGAGTTAGAGATGGATGCATTTAAAAGAATGTTTTGTACCATTCATTAACTTTAACCCATTCAATCTAGGGCGCTCAGAAATTTTATCATTGAAAACTTTAGGTTATGGTTAGGGTTACCTACCACTCTTACCATAGAATTAGAAAGGTCTTGAAAAAAATTAAGACCAATCTATTTTTAACAGTGAAATTAAATTTAATAAATTCTAAGTAGTTCAATCAGAGTTTTATATCTTAATTTTGATTATTATGACATATAATAAACTTAAAACATTTATCCCCAAGGTGAAGGTTAGTTATTTTTATGCACACCGCGGTGAGCCCAGCCATAAGCACTATATAAGACCAATGTTCCCTCTAAGGTTTGTTGGTTTGTGTGCAAAATCATACAGTTATGTGCAAAGTTTTACAGCATCAATTTTTTTGTGTGCAAAATTTTACAGTCCAGAAACACAAACACACACAGGGAAATTTGCTGCACGGATACTCAAAACTGCTGCGCAGCGTCTGTGAGATGGGAACATTTTATAAGACCACTAATAATAATAATGTTTGCAGGGCATATTTTTTTACATAATACTTATTATTGCAAAGTAACCTTTGTGTTTTTTTCCAGATGTGCCGCTTGTATCCTGAAAACCGCAAGGTGGAACTAAATGCGGCAACACTTCTGTTGATGTCCTACACCACGATTCAGGCATCTGAGGCCCGGCAAGTGCTTGAAGAACAGCATGATGTGGATTTGCTTCCCAGGGATATTTACAATATTAAGTCAAGAATAAATAAATCATCTTCTGATGCAACTGAAACTCAATCTATACTTCATTCTATATCACAAGCTGGTGGAAGTGTGTCCTATGGACTAACAGAAAGTGGGGAATTTAAGTATTTATCATACATGACTCATGATATGATTAGAATTATTGCCCAATATCCAGAGGTTTTATTAATGGATTTCACATATAAAACCAATAAATATTTATATCCACTTTTGACTGTAATGGTTATTGATGGAGAGGGCAGGGGCATTCCTGTTCTTCATGGTTTTGTAAAAAATGAAGATAAGGAATCTATTTCTCTTTGTTTGCAGCTTCTTCTGAAGAATTCTGATGCCAGTCTTTTCAAGTGCTTTGTGGTTGACAAAGACATTGCTGAAATCTCTGCTATAAATGATCTGTTTCCAAATGTACCTGTTAATCTATGTCATTTTCACATTAACCAGGCTGTGCACAGGTTTCTTTCGAAACATGTAGGTCCTGAGCATGTTAAGCCAATTCTTGAAGGATTTATGTCTCAAGTTTATACTGAGTCGTGTGATGAATTTTTAAAGTTAATGCAAGACATGAAAGATACTCTTCCTGATGTAGCTTTGGAGTATTTTGAGTCAAACTGGTGGAGTAAGGCCCATTTATGGGCAGCATCATCCAATGCTGATGTTTTAAGACTCCATGCGACAACAACAAATCACTTGGAGTCTTATCATGCCAAAATAAAAAAGAGTTTGACTCATTATCTTTCTTTTTCATCTGCTCTTCGTAACCTTATGTCTTTTGACAACTGCAAAATTACAGTATGTGATCGTTTAAGATTGCTTGCTGCAAACACAGCTCAGTATACGTCATCTGATAATGATGAAAGTGTAAATAAGATTGAAAGTGTTGCTACTTCCTTTGCTGCTGCTCTATTGCTCAATCAGCTCAAATTGTCACGATCTGTTCCGTACTCTGTTGTCCCTGGAGAGGCAGAACTTTTTTCAGTAGCTTATAAGGAACATATTTTTAGCTCAACATCAGTTCAATGTAATTGTTCATTTGCTAAAAAGATGGCATTACCTTGCAGACATATTTTTTCAGTTCGAAGACATTTACAGCTTCCAGAATTTTGTTCAGAGTTAATTCCATGCCGTTTTAGCAAACATAGTGTTCCTAGAGTGGTTGCTTCTACTTCTAGTGGTTCAGTAACTTCTCAAATTGTATCTACTAGAAACAATAATTTTAAGACTCAAGAGGGTCGGTTTAATCATGCTAAAAGAATTTGTATGGGCTTGGCAAATTTTTTGGCGATGCAAGGAGAACAAGATTTTGTAGAGAAAATATCCTTTCTTGAAACTACTATAAGTCTCTGGAAAAGTCCTGAAAATTTAGATGAAAATGAATCGGTGTCACAACTTGATGAAGGTGAACCACAAACAAGTTTCATTCAAAGTCAACTAATTGATTTTGTTGATATAAATGACATTCATTTTTCCCACGAGGAAACAGTTGCTGCAAATAATTTAGAAAAAATTGAAACTGAAAATAGTATTAATTCCTTTGGGAAGCTTAACTTTGACAGAGTTCGCCCAAAGGGGCGACCGAAGGTAAAGCAAAATTTAACCCTGAAAAGAAAAAGATAGCTGCCCCAACAATTTTCAACTACTTGTATAAAATAAATATGTGAATGTTTGTAAATAAATGGCTGTCGCTATTCAAACCCCGGTCCAATAGACCAATGCTATTCGGATGTCATTTGTGGTAATTTATTTTAATGTTCATTTAGTTAAACTGAAGAATTAAGTTTACAAACATATAGTCCATTCAATTATCTTTCATTTGATACCAAATTTTGTTTTACAACCTAACAATAATTTTTTGGGATGTGTTCATGATGTATGCATCAATGTTGTTTCAGTGTCTTTTTCAGCTTTTATAGATATAGCATTTTCATTATATTTTTTTCTGACATCAATTGATGAATCAGGAGGAATAGTTTTGGAACTACATGATTGAAACTTTGCATGCTTATTTAAATTGAGATTCTTTACTTTATGATGGATTGTTTTTAAACAAATGTCTCATAGGAAAAGTTTTCAGAGAATGTTTGTATTTATGCATTTTATTTATTAGGTTCGTGTGTTAATTTTTTTTTCTATCTTTTCTGTCTTAGTTTTCTAATTGTTTTTTAAATCATGAAGGATATATGTACATGGTGTATGCATCCTATATCGTTCATGCAGCCTTTAATTTAAAAAAACACAATTTTATTTTATAATTTTTTTCATTTTTCTCAATTTTGCATTTTCCGGATTTTTAAGGAACGCCAAATGAATCGGGAGGAACAGTATTCTAGCTACAGCCTTCAAACATTGCATGCTTCTTTTCATTAATATTCTTTACGAAATTCAAGAGTTTTTTTTTATATATTATATATATATATATATCCAACTAGAAAGTTTTATAACATTTTTACATTAGCTACCCCTGAAGAGTTCTCAAATATTTATGTGACCCCCACATACATGCCATTTGTAACAATTCCAATAACTGCTGTGTAATAATCTTCTTTAAACTTTTTGTCAATGTTATTCTTAATATGTATGCCAAGTTTCATTTACAATACAGTACAATAATTTACAATACAATGCAATACAAATTTGTTTTTTATCATTTTGCGTAAAGTCAAAATTGGTATTAAATGTTAAATTTTTTGCAATAAAAGTCACAACAAATTTTTTTTAAAATTTAGTGGATTTTTGTCTTTCTGTTTGTGTATGGTTTGTATGTACTGTATTTTTTTCAATGGCTCTATTTATTTAGGTTATGAGTATTTTATTTTCAATGTGGCATGACTTAGTTGCCTTGAAACCAAACTCCCTTCACAGATCACATATATTTGCTCCCACTCAATCATTACGTCTGTACTTAAATGAAGAAATGATACAGTACAAACAATAGTTAACTGTACGGGTACCAACAAGGAAGGTGAGAAAGTAAAAGGAGACAAATGGCAAAGGAATGATGTGACCTAATTGAATGAGTTTAATGGCTGCCTACTCCATACTGGCCCCTAATTTATTTTATGGATTACTTGAGTACACAACTCAAATAACTAACAACCAAACAAAAATGTTTGCAAGTCAGTTAAGGGTTTTTTTTATATTAAATTATGTACCAGTGTGTTAGACCCAGCAGACAGATATGGTAAAAAAAAAAAAAAACCTAGTCCTCCAAAAATAAGTCTCCTCATACTTTATACAATGGCATCCTTTAACTTTAAGATGTTCATTGCAACTACCTTGTGAATTAGGTCAAGTCAAATGAGAAAGGTTGTTGAAAGGAGATTCAAGATATCAGGAATAACAGTTAGTGTCCGCATGTATGACTCCCAGTGCCAAGGAAAAGGTTTAAAATTGGTAGTTTTGTTCTGACTAAGCCAAGCTCTCTAGAGGAATAGTTGAAATAAATTCATTATGAATGAAATTTTCATTATTTAGAATACCTAATTAATTCATAAAGTACTGTGTGATTAAATCTTTTAACTTAAACAATACACATAAATAATCTTAAATAAAGGATTTAATTTTAATAATTAAATTAATATTATTACTTTTCTAAAATTCAAATAAAAACAATAAATGTACCTAAATCATCTTCATTACTAGATTTTAAAAAAAAAAATAATTGATCTCTTGAAAATGGCTTAAACTAAAATAAGAAAGAAAAAAAAATCTACCAATACTGAGAGAAATTAACAAAGCAAAAATAAAAAAAACTAAAAATAATAAAACTATGAATCAATCAAATAAACAAGGAGAAAAAACAATTTCAAAAAAATAATTCTCATGCTATTATAGTTATCACATTCGGCTCCGAAGCCATTTAATATGTACGGAGCCACTCCGGGTGCGAATTGTCATTGGCAACCATAGGTACCCGGGTACCTATAGATGCAGCCTTTTCAGATATCTTATCACGTGACATAAATGTCACATGACCATCCTGTTATCATTTAGAGTTTGGAGTGACTTCTGATTGTTCCACACTAATAGTTCGAACTTTGGTTTGCGCGTTTGTTTGTCGTACTTGACTTTCAAGACAAGATCAGCAAGATGTCATTGAAAGGTAGTCTTTTAGATATACTAATTATTATTTAGGCAGGGCAAACTAGCCCTGGGGCATTTGGGGTGGTAAGCACTGTCGCCACTGGCACTGACAGTACACTATCAGTTATCAGTATCAGTACAGGCTCAGCTCAGACTCAAACTCAAGTCACTCAAGTTACTATAAAAAAATAAGTAAGGTAGTACTCCACTACGTATGTCGTGGTACATATTACATACTGAACTGCAACGGCTACATTAGGTTACATTGTGTCTTGTGTCCCTAATTATAACGAACATAATGAGATAATGCGGAAGTTCGCCCAAAAGTATGACTGGTGTAGCAAACCATGACTTATCATACTTATACTTATAGTTATAGCAAATCGCGCCAGCGTTGGCCTTCACAAAAAATGTTTTAAAAAAATTGAAATGGTGAGTGGTGAGCGTGTACAAACGGCTATGGCGTCCTCTGCTGCTGCTCACAATTCTGAACAATTCTGTAAGGGAACAGGAGTTAGTCAGAGTCTGAGGCATTCTTATTTGTTTTTTGTTATGTGTTTGTGTTGTTTTTGAGTGTGGTTATACTTTCTGCTTGTTGGTATGTTTAAATTGTGCTGTGTCAGTTTTGTTCACATTTGTTTGGATAAGTGAAGTGGGTCAACTATTTTACACTGTGATTAGTTTTTCTTTGTTTTGGATTGTCAGGTAATAGTTAATAGAGATATCCTTGACAAGCCATTGTTATTGTATAAAGTATCATGTAGTTATAAAACTTTTTCAAACTCTTTTACAATTTTGTTTGCCTCTAAATTTCCACAATGGGACTTTTAGAAATCTGGATCTCCTTCAATAACTCCCCATATAACAAACGCTGTTCCAGAGCAGCTTAGGTTCATTATGCTCGGACCCAATGTAGTCATGTTCAGTGATAGTAAAAAATATTATTATTAATTACTGTATAGATGAAATTTAAAAATATACGTTTTTTTCACAGAGTACACATTCACAGATTCTTTTGAGGTAACTAACCAGGTGAAAAGCGACTTTGATGAAGCTGGCTACATAATTGTTAGGTAATTGTTACCCATTAATGTCACAAAGTTGTTAGCCTAGCTTTAAAAGCTTTTATTCCTTAGTGTCACAAGCTCCTTAATGCTCTGTTGACTCTATCTAACCACCATTTCTTGTACCAAATGAAACACAATAAAAAAGACAAATAAAAAATTCTTGATCATTATCATAAAATGCTAAAGATAATTTAATGTTCATATTTAAATAAAACCTTATATCATTATTCTAGTTTGATAAATTTAAATACAGTCAATGTTAATCCTTGTATGAATATATGCAAACATTAAACCGCGTTATAATGGAGTCCTGGGTGCAGCTGATTTCTTTCTCTCTATCCTTTTGGTATGCCCTACTGTGAACCTATTGTCTATGTCACCAGTCACTCATCACTGCTTGTTGTCGTGGGGTTTTGATGTCCATCCACTGTCCACATGGTCTAACATTAAAATTTGTAAGGAAAGAACACTACTAAAACTGCTGAAATGCATGAGAAACCATTTACACTAAGTAGTACTATTAAGAAGTCCTATACCTATACTTTTCAAAATGGCTCATCCAGGAGATCTTGATATATATCTGTTATCTCTACAACCTCAAACACTCAACCTCCCTGCACAGCTTCTACAATTTGAACTCTGTGTTTACACTTACCTATGTTTCTGGAAATCTCTGGCTTTATGTGCTCTTTGTCTCAGTCTATAGAGAAAGACTTGCAAAGTAATGTACAGGGACAGTTAGTCAGTGATCAATGAATGTACTAAATTTCATGTGTCCCACAACAACTTCCCAACCTTAACACTTGAAAGCATTTCAAGATATCTTCAATGAAAATATCATTGTGGCAGATAGATAATTATAGATCATTTAAAAACATGCTGATATTAATGTAAAGTACATTGTTTGTAAAAAAAAAAAAATAAGAACCTTTTTCATTAAGCAATTATCTAGAGCTGTGTAATATTTTTTTTATGGGTAGTTGTCATTGGGATTGAAAATGCCTTAAGTTAAAGGATAGAATATTGAACAGAAATAGTTTTGTGAAATACCGGTATGAAATGGAAGCAGTGGCGTAGCGAGGCAGGTGCGGGGGTGCGGACCGCACCGGGTGACTCCAACCCTAGCTATGTCACTGAATGGAAGTGAGAGAAATCATGACAAAGTATGTATGACTGTAAGCTATAAAAGTGTATGCATGAATCTATAAATATTCCTCATATAAGGTTTGTATATTTTGATATTATTAGTCTAATATTTGCAATCACAGAGGCCTCCTTGATAAAGATGAGTTGCTCAAAGTGAAAGAAGCTCTTGAAAGTACTGATGCCCTAATGAAACATTCATTTCAGGTACAAGCTATGACACATTTACTCTTCTACAGTTGGAATATTTTCCTAAAATTTGAAGAAGATATACCAACCATATGTGAAATGGTTTAATTTATTTAATTATCATGATAGTTGAATTCTTATAATAGCGATCAAATAAATTTGAAAAATAAAATTTAATGTTTATTTTATGTGACCACAATGATTCATATTATTAGCTCCATTCTGTGTTTACAATAACTTTAAATTCACCTAAAAACTGCAATATATAAAAAATAGTGGTTCTCTTTGCGGTGATAACTAATTACTTTCCAGTTGATATTAATAGATACATTCTAAACATTGATTGAAGTGTGAGTACTTTTTTAATCCTGCATTTAGGTCAATGACAGTGAAGGTCGCAAGAGTCGACTATGTTTGTGGAGTCATCCAGGAAAGGATGTGACAGGAATGGTTGGGCGGTGTGAAAAGGTTGCAGGAACTTCAGAGAAAGTAGGTTTCTATAAAAATGCAACAGCCTTGGTTTGGGGGTGGGGGGGGGTTATTTTTGAAGATCTTATGAATAATTCCTGTTATAGCTCTTGTGTTATATGTGTTAGAAAGTAGTACATTATGAAGAGCAGTATTTTTAAACTTTAGAAAATATTAGTGCATTTAGCAGAACAGTGTTTCAGAAGCCGAAAAGTATCTCTGCTAATTTTTGGTAAATTAATTTTAATCATTAATTCATTAACATCCTCCACCCCAAATTTTTTGGTGTTGATGACGAACAGCTTCTGGGAGGAGAAGTTTATCACTATCATACCAAGCTAATGATGAAAGAACCTTTTACTGGCGGGGAGCATGTCTGGCATCAAGATTATGGGTACGTTTTCTTAAGTGCCTGTATACATTTTACAAGGCATTTTCTCAGAATGTTGTATTAGATTTTAAAATAAATAAATTCAATACTTTCCTTCCAATTTATTGCTTGTTAACTTCTGCCAAACTGTCAAATTACCGGTACTGTCAAAATGTCAAGTGTACTAGTAATTGTACTGTCAAGAATTTTTGTTAATGGTAAAGCAGTAAGGTATACTGTTAAATAGGGAAAATGATTATCAAACAGAGATGATTTTTATTTTCCCACCCTTAATAGCTTCAAGATTATTTCCAGTCACCTATTACTTTGTCCTTGAAATTTTAATGAGATTTCCCAGACCATTTCTTTATCTTTATTTCTTTTAAATTTAAGAATACTATTATACCATTATCTATTTGGGTCAGAAATCGCTCAAACTAATGGTCACAAAGATAAGCTTAAAGGCAATTATTAACATCTGATCTGCCAAGGTTGAGAGTACCTCTTGCTATTAGAGAGCCAGAGATTATGCTAAATTTACTTGGGGCAGAGATTTCATAAAGACCATCAAAAATAGCAGTCTTTTCCCGCCCTCTTTAATTATGTTTTGTTTGACTTACACTCGGTCAGGTTAATGTTATCTACTTCAGGTACTGGTACAAAAATGGTTGCCTGTTTCCTGATATGTTGACAGTTTTCATTGCAATAGATAAGTGCTGGAAGGAAAATGGATGTCTTCAGGTATGGTTAGGAACCGGGAGGGGGGGGGGGGCTTTTTTTGCACTGAATGAAGGAAGTATGGTGACTTGTTTGTACTTGTTTTGTGAACTGTGGTGGCATATTTGTATTTGTTTTATGAAGTGTTGTGGCTTATTTGAACTGGTTTTATGAAGTATGGTGGCTTATTAAAAATGGTTTTATGAAGTGTGGTGGTTTATTTGAATTGATTGAAGGAAGTGCTGTGGCTGCTCTGTACCAATTGATGAAAGTATTATTGCTTATTATTTCCAATTGAAGAAAATGTAGTGGCTTCCTTGTACTGATTAAAGAAAGTGTAGTGGCTTCCGTGTACTGATTGAAGAAAGTGTAGTAGCCAAATTGTACTTATGGAAAGGAAATGTGGTGGCATTTTTTAACTGGTAAAGGATGGGTTACCGTTAAAAGAGGTTGGTTTGATTATTTTATGTTTCTTAGTGGCAGTGATCTGATTGCTTTGTACCTTTTAAATGATGTGTTGCAATCAATTTGAAGTTGATAAATGAATAATTGTATTTTTTGTTTGTTTTATTTGTTTTGAAGACCTGTAGTTTTGATAAAATTATTACATTTGTTACTGTTGAGTTGTTATACATTGCTGTATTGTGTAAATATTTTATTCAAGTACTCAGTAGTTCCATATGAAAAGTGACCTTTTCTTGTCTTCTACAGATCCTTGAAGGCTCTCACAAGTGTGGCCGTGTTGAACATGTCATGGTTGGAGGTCAGACAGGGGCAGATCTTGAAAGAGTTGCCCAGATTCAGAAAGTTTTGCCTTTAAAGTTTGTGGAGCTTGAACCAGGTGAACTATATTAAAAAAAATTATTGTCCTTTGAATAGCAGCCAATTATGTCCTACCATAAGATTTGATTTAATTGTTGTAAAACTTGTTGGAAAATGACAAAATACTAAATGTTGATTACAATTTTTATGCTGTCTAGTAGTGCTCCATGTTGTTCTATTCTAAAACAAATAAAACGTTGAACTAACCTTGATGGTTGCCTCTACTTATTTGATTATCTTCCTTGTGAAGTAAATTAGCAATTTGATATATTCAACAAAACTCTCATCTTAAAACAATATTTTGGACTCAAATGAGTTATTTCCCTTTAATGTACAATTTTTAAAAAAACTGGCTTTTACTTATAGAAAATTAAGTGGGGAAACAAATAATTTATGATTAAATATTCCCTCCTTTTTTAACATCAAGGACATTATTATGACAAAGTCTTTTAACTTTAAAATTATTTTGTCAAAATAAACTTTAAAAATAATTCTTTCATAATGATAATTTTAAGTTTTAGTAAAAATGCATAGTTTATATTCAAGATATGTAAAGAACTTTGAGTTTTATTATTTACAAGACAATGTATGTAAGATTTTGTAAATTTGACATCAACAGGTGATGCTCTGTTCTTTCACTCTAACTTGCTTCACAACAGTGCCCAAAATCAGAGCCCTCATCGACGCTGGGCTTTCCTTTGTGCCTATAACAAAGCCTCCAACAACCCAGTCTATGAACATCATCACCCACAGTACACTCCCCTTATTAAGGTTTGTACTCTCGAGTTGACATTTTTATCATGTGTGTCCTGTCCAACGGTGATGTGCGGCCTTTATTGTGGAGGCCCCCGTGTCACCAAACTAAACAAGAGTTTAAACTCTTACCACCCCGAAAAAAGTCTCAACCCCTAGGCTGTCCACCCATTATATAGGATTCAGACTATCACAGGAGAATTGTCAAAGTACGCCTTTGAGAATAGAATAATTTTTTAGATGATCTGGGACAGTTACTAAAATCCTCAAAGCCTCATCAAACTGATTAGGAACTGAACTTATGGTGCATTCTGTAGTGTAAATGTAATCGCAGCTTGACCATAAACTTGACTTATCCCCAGGTACCCAACTCAGCTATCAGAGAATGCACCAACATCACAGATATGTCTGATAAAGACTTTATGGACCCCAGCAAGGACAAGACAATCATAGCCACTACAAATGAGAAATGAAGCATATTGTATTCGCTAAATAACTGCCAAAGAACTTTTACAATTATTTGTCTCCTTTTTTTTTTTTTATTTAATGGCCCTATTTTGTGAAATTCATGTTAACTATGTTTACTATTTAGCAATCAGTGGTTTACTAATTCAGGCTGTGATGTTTGCAATTGTTCTATTAACTTCTATTTTTTAAAATGTTATAGGATATGATATATATTATATATTCACTCTCTAAAGTGCCATCCGCAATAGGCTTTAAATTTACCTGTACTGGTACATAGAATTCGTGATTGTATTGCAATAAGATCTTCTGGATTACATTTTTTTCCTATAAAGACACCAAATAACGCATGCTAGATGATGAGTGGAATTAATTTAATGTTCTTCTGATTTAGTCTCAGACATGCTCTTTAACCAGAGCAATTTTTTTTTTATCTGCATAATATTGTAATTCCATTGTTTACTTTTACATAAATGTGCCATATGAGAAGTGAGTCTCCTCCCCATTATGTTTTTTTTTACACAGTCATCAGGAGTCATTTCGCTTGTCAAAAATGATGGACAGGAGTAAATGTAATAATTGTTTTAGTCATTTTTACTGTTTAGTTTTAACATTTTTAAATTCAATTGTCCAGTCTCAGATATTCGTCAGGTAAAAAAAAAATGGTCTCTTAAAAGTATCAGTTTTAGTTGAGTTATCTCTCCCTTTGTGTGCTTGACTAATCTGTACACAAATGGCAATGACCGTCAAGAAAAAACTTAAGTAAAAAAAAATTTCAACATTTAAATTAACTTTGAAAACATTTACAGTGATTTTTTAAAAGTTTATTTAAAGATAACATTTACTGAATGAGAGTTTGTGGTTTTCAAAGAATTATATTTGGTAATGCATTGTTTTTGTGTTTTTTTCGTAACTTTCAAGTTTTTCTTGTGTAATGTTGGCTTTGTAAACCATTTCAATTGCTGGAAGGAAATTTCCTACATGTTCAGAATATTATTATATTGGATATATCAATTCATGCTCTTTGTGAGATCAACAAACAACATTAATCATAAATGTTGATTCAGTTACAGAGTGTGTATAAATAATATAATTAATAAATTGATTATATTTTGCTTAACCAGAAAATGTTTTCCTTTTTTTATACCCATTCTAATATCAGTACCCCACCATCCACCCAAATATTCCAAAAATTGTATTTTTTGTGCTAGAACCATGGTATTTTGATTGAATTGAGACAAATAATGACTGCAATATTTCATGTACTGAATAAATTAACTATTTGTTCAGAAGTAAAAACATCTTTTAATTTTTTTTTTTTTCAAATAGAAACCAAAGATTTCTGTTGGTACTTGGTTCAGAAAGCCCTTTGCAAATATTTTACTTTATTGCTTTGAAAATAGTTCATTATTTATTTTTTTTTTTTGCAGGGCTTCTAAATTTAAAAAAAAATGTCTGCCTTTCCCAACCTTCTAATAACCAAAGAACATTGAATTGGTTCATTCAATGTGAAGATAAATTAGTTAATTAGCTTTGTGACAGTTGCTTATTGAGTGTGTTAGATTAGAATCTTTCAGTCCACATGTGAAATTCTTGTCTGCTTTATATATTGGTGTGGTTGGTGGTTTCGTCACTACAGTTTTACATTTATTTAGATTACAGAAATGGGGTCTTGAGAACTATAGCTTTTTTATTTGTTCTCAGTTTAAGAGTATGGTAACCAGAACAAGAAAAAAGCTGAATAAAAAGTACAGTAAGAATCAGCCAGACTGAGACCTATGTTGCCTGCTATAAGTTGCCTGTCAATTCAAAATAAGCAGGTCACATTGGACCTGTCTGATATAGGACTCACAGGGGAAAAATGATGTCAGTGTCACATGTTGGTCACTGGGATGGTCACTTGCTGTGCATGAGTGACCAAGCAGGAGATTAGAGCCCAGCACACCACATGCTTCTTTTAATTTTGATGGGTGTGTAGGCTACGTTTATAACACAGCCTGTGGTTGACCCACAGCCATCAAGCGTTGTGAGCTACTACTATTAAGTGGCACATTGCAACACATGCTAACTTGATTATTATAGTTTTATTTTACAAACAGATGTAATGGAATAAATTTAATGTATTTCATCATTTTTTTTTTTTTTTTAAAGATATAAACTCCAACTTTAAAGGATGTCATGCTTGTTAGTATTTTGCCTGTACTATTACACATTATAAATATACCGTGTTAACATATACATTGTTTCTCCGATTGGAGAATTCTTTTAACAAACTATTCAATGCATTGTTGTCCTTCAATAAACCTTGAGGGAGCAATCTCAAGGCAGAGGAGGTCTCTAACATCCATCTCCAAATAGAAAATGAGAATGTACAAGAAGATGAAGGCCAGACATAAACAATACAGACCTTGTGATCTCTGTCAAATCTAACCAAGTCAATTGCCTGGTTATGTACATAAAAATTGGGTGCTGGATGCATAGGGCTTTTATGAAATAATCTTACCATTGTTTGACCTACAACTACAACTAAGACTATCAGTATCTATTGCTGAACACTATTTTCTATTTCCTCTCAGTCCCTCATATTGACTGATTTGCTGCAATTTTAGACTTCCAAGAGCTGCTGTGAAACAAGGTTTTACTCAGCTATTAATAAATTATTAATTTTTGTGTATCCCTTATAAATGTTTTTAAAGTGTAGGTCTATTTCTAGTGTATGCCAAATGGCGAATCTAGAGGCTGCAGGGGGGGGGGGCGAACACTGCGGGCGGCCAGTGACATTAGTGCAGTCAGGGCTTTAAAAGATTTTTGACGCCCCACCACAAAAAACCCCTGCAGCTGGCCAAAAATACTGCATCTTCATATAAAGAAAAAAAAACACGCCCGGGATGGAGCGCCCCTCCCTACCTCCTTCCTACACCTATGAGTTAAAGTAAACTTTCAAAATACTGAGGCTGAGAAGGCACCTGAAAGTGCAGATATGAATCTGGACAAAGCAAAAGACTGGTCAATATTTGAAGTTTTAAAATGCACAGCTGAATGGGAGTTCTTGGAATCCCTCCTAATCCTCCCAGGGGGCCTACAATTATTTCTCACTGTCTGCGCGTGTCTTCATGCGAGAGGAGCTTTTCAAAAACTGAAACTTTTCAAGCAAGAACTATTTGCAATCTACGATTGAAATGTCAAGGCTTTTTTTGGTCTGGTCATTTTGTTACTTGAAAGTGATAAAGTGAAACTGTTGATTTTTGATGAAGTGATTGACAGTGACACGTATGCATCTTTGAAGACCAGGAAAATATAGTTTTATTGCATTTTAAAAACACTGTTACCTCAAATTGTTTCCTCTTATATCTTTTGGCTCTTTAAGACTTAATTAACAAACAAATCTATAAGTGGTTCTGCATGATCTGGCTGACAGATTTACTCGTTGCTGGTCCGGGGGGGGGGGGGAGGGGTTTCCAGGGGGGGAGGACTCCATGAGTTTGCAGCACCNTTAAAGGACGTTTGGGCTAGGTGCCTTCTTCACCAGACAATAAAAAAACAACAACCGAAAACCATTATTTTCTGAAGATTATAAAATACCATCAAAGTCAATTTTGGTTCCCCTGCCCCTCCCCTACTATTATGTAAATGTTGCCCGGAGACATTGTGCCCCCCCCCCCTTTTTTTTTTACACTACACCGTTTAAATGTTGTCACAGTTGTGATAAATCTCAATCAATGAAGGAAGTAGGAAGTCAATGTATTTCCAAATAAATTGATAATCCTTACAACTTACATAGATTCTTAGATTGAGTTTGACAGTTTGACATTTGTGTCTTTTGAGCCCCTATATTCCTATATAGAGAAAGGCTGGAGCCAGTGGCATTTACTGTAATTAAAGTTGTAAGTAAAAAACTTAAGTCAAATTCCCCATTAAAATGATTTTTTAAAAAGTACGTACTGACAAAAAATTGTGGTTTCACGGAATTCACATGTATTTATTTATCACCACATTTATTTTTATCTCATTAAAATATGGGAATCCCGTCCTTGACATGCAACACTTTTAAATAACCATCAAGGAACCCCCATTGCACATGCGCAGACTGTCGGTACACGTCAGAAGTGTATAAACAGAACGGAAACAAACCCATTATCGAATAAATGTCTTTTGGTGGGGCAGTAGAATTCAGAGTCGAGGCAGTAGGCTTTATATGTTTCATTTGTTTTTGGACACATGAAAAAGAATGAAATGAGATATGTTGAAAATATCCTCATTTTATGTTTTATTTTGTCTCTTGATACTGTCAAAGAGGTGAGTATTTCAATAAAATCGATATAGTTTGGGTAAATCGGTCATGCATTCTTTCTCAAAATCTTCAAAATCCTGTCTGTCTCAGTTCTCACTAGTCTCAGCAGACAGTGTTTGCTGTCTGGGAGAGGCCAGTCTAATGTTGTAATGTGAAGTGCAGTAATAGGTGTAATAGACTACTTCTAAAGTGAAGTGGTTGTGAAAGTAACATATCCTCAATTAAATAACATGGGGGAGGGAGGGGGGGAATTCAAATAATTTAGCAACCGTGTCAGTTTCGCAGCCTTAAACTTAAATTATTCACTGAATGAAGTAAATTTTAAATGGCCGTTTGTTGAATAGTTTTGTAAACTAGTGTCAGTGAATATACTGTTATTATTACTATTTAATGACATATAATATATATATATATATATTATAGAGAGATATATTATGGAGAGATATCTATATATTCATATTGCCTTAACTGGCTTAACTCATAAGCCTTGGCCTTAGCTTTAAATAAAAAAAGAAGAATGATGATTGCCCCATCCTATACTATTTTTGTTATAATTATAACTTATAGGAATTACTAGACTAGTTTATAATATAAAAAAAGAATACAAAAAGAGTTTAAAACATGACTGAAAAAAAGTGTGATTTCCATGACCATGCCACATTGTTCATTGTATGTAGGTATTGGTCATCTGCAATGGCACCAACCTTAGTTACTTAGTTGCCTCAAAAGTTAAAGGGGATTCCTGGGCCCTGATTGCAAGTGCTATTTTAATAACACTGACCACATATTTACTGATACTGATGAGAAAATATCATCCCTACATCTGAGTCAAATCTGATTCACTTATTTTTAGAGAGACCAGATTAGTCTCTGCTTAATGTTTCAAAAACTCTGCTTTCAAAAAATAATATAGCTATTTTAAGTAGTATATCATAACATATTTATGGTATGCTATATTGCCTTCTATGATGACTTTATTATGACCTCTCAACAATCAATGAGTGGTTATTTATTTCCAACAATAATTTTGTCAGTTTCTGCCACTTTTCATTGTTTTGTTACATTGTTCAATGAAAGACTTTCAACATTTCAGCTAGTGTCCCTTTAATTTAATCATGGTGGACAAATTATTATGAAGTTTGTAGACCAAATGATTTTCAATTACCCATCTGTCAGCAGGTTTTGACTATTGTTCTTCATTGAATTCCATATATTAGGATTTGACTTGACAATTTCTTTAGCTTGGGACAGAAATTCACACCATGTTTTTTTTTTTTTTCATGTTGTCTTAGAACTCTACCTGATGAAATTGAAAGTAGCTCTACCCCTCAAGTGCCGGATAACGCTCAGACCAATGAGCTGACTGGAGTAACACAGCTGAAGGATAATGATAAACAACTTCAAAGTGAGCAGCTTACAGAGGCATCCTTATCACCACTGGTAAGTTTGGGTTTAAATCCTGGAATACTGATAAAGATATGATTTATATACTTTTCTTCCCATATTCTATGAAATGAAAATAATTGTTAAACATATGGACTTTCTCTAATAATTTTTGTTTAAAATTTCCATGATGAGATTATGGGAGCAACAGTCATATGTCTGATAAATACTTACCATTTGTGCTCTTTAGTACCAGTATGCTTAAATTACTTAAATGTGATTGTTAAAAAAAATAACATTTAATTTAAAGTAAAAAATTATGTTAGGTCTCAAAGTTTTATGTCAACAAATTAATAATTCATCATACTATACTTTTTCTTGATGACCACTAAAAAATTACATTTATTAGAATATGTTTATTTAGCTTCACCAAACGTCATTCAGGAATTAATCCAAATTAAATTCTGTTTATATTTGATTTTCAGCCCCCATATCCATCGGCTACAGATGAAGAAGATATTTTAAAACTCACACCAACTGTAGACCGCATTGTGGTGGTCCCTGGGGGTGCAGGGGGTGCTGCAGCCCCAGTAGTTTTACCTTTTACAGAGGATGTAACAAATGAGGAGTCTCCTGCTGCGCTTACGTCTGATGCAGCTGATTCAACGCTGGTGAGCAATGAACTATCATTATCTTTGGGGGATGCCCAGTCTCCGTAGGCACCGACGGGATTATTGGTTTCATCTAACTGTTAATTCTGCTTTCCAAAACCCCTTTCTATCCCGAAAAATCATTTTGAAAATGCTGGAATAAATATTATATGACTTAGCGAGAGCCCACCTAACAATGGTGGCAGCAAGTCATGAATTTCCCATCTCATAAAGTTACTTGATGAAACATGCAATTAAATAACAAACTTATGTGTGGCAACTGCACACTATTTTCAAGCCCCTAAACTATATTAATATTCTAATATCCAAACCAATTTTACACTGCGTATAACAGCATATCTAAAAGCTTTTTTGTTTGCCATAATGATAGAACTGTATGTAACCAAATGTTGGCAGATATTTACAAAGTTCTCTTTTTTTTTTTTTCCATATCCCTCCTCCCAATGCCATATGGATATCTTTTATGGATTTCCGGGTGTATCTTAAAATTACCAGAACCGTTTTTTAAAAACCCTTTTTTTAATTGATTGGGATAAATACTGCTGTGTTTGGACATAAAATAACATTGGGAAATCTCAAATTAATTTTTACAATTCTAGGGCATTGAATAGTTTATCACATTATTATTTTACTGTTGGTATTTCATTATTTTCTAAATGATTTAAAGTCTGTGTCCAGAACTAATCTCTATTTGAAGCTGAATGGATTCATTGACCTGGTCAGGTTGTGGGGATGAATTGGGGGGGGGGGGGGGGGGGTGGGGG